CTGCTGCTGATGATGATGATGATGATGATTGTGATGATGATGATGAGGATGATGCTGCTGCTGCTGCTGCTGATGATGATGATGATGATGATGGTGCTGATGCTGATGCTGATGCGGATGCTGTCGCTGATGCTGCTGCTGAGGATGAAGAAGAATGGTACGACGAAAAATGATGACAGTAACAACAAACATAACACTAGTCATCTTGAGAATAATAATCATATGAATAATAATGATACTTACATTATTAACGATAATGATAATACGAATACTGACAAGAAGAAACATACCAATACTACTAATAGTGAGAAGAGGAGTAGAAGGAGGAGGAGGAGGAGGAGGAGGAGGAGGAGGAGGAAGAGGAGGAGGAGGAGGATAGGAGGAGGAGGAGGAGGAGGAGGAGGAGGAGGAGGAGGAGGAACCCGCGTGGGAGGGCTGCTCGCACCCCGCAGGGCCGCCTCGCCGCACCCCCGGCAGCCAGGTGTATCCGAAGAACTCCGTGCTGGACCCCCAGCTTTCGGACGACACCCCCCTGGAGAACTTCCTGAAGCTGACCGAGGAGTCCCCGCTCTCCTCCGCGCCTCCTCCTCAGCCCCCCTCCGCGAGCCTCCTCCTCGCCCCCTCCCCCCCTCCGCGCCTCCTCATTGCGCACTCCGAGCCTCCGTCTCCTCGCCGCCCTCCTCCCTCGCTCCTCGCTCCTCGCCCCTCCACTCCGCACCCTCCCCCCCGCTCCCCCGCGGCGCCACGCCCTCCCACTGCTGCGGCGCAGGAGCGCCTCGGCGGTCCGCGGGCGCCCTCCCCCCCCTCCCCCGCGCCCGCTGCTCCTGTCGAGGAGGCGCAGACATGGATTGAGGCGCGTGGATTCGTCGGGGCCAAGTAGATGTCCACTGCCATGGTATTACTTGTCCACTTCCCGGTGGCAACGGGCGGCCCAGACACAGTGTGTACATCCCCCAATCAGTGCTTGCACTAAAGGGGTCCTGGCGGAAGTTGAAGGATTTGGCGAAAGTTCCCCGCCGATTTTGGTGGCAGGCTGGGTTCCCGGGTTCCCGGTTCCGGGCTCCCGGGTTCCCGGTTCCGGGTTCTGGGCCGATTTCGGAGGGCGGCGAGGTTCCCGGGTTCCCGGGTTCCTGGTCAATTTTCTTATCGATCGGTCTCACCATCGATCTCATTACCAGCTTCTCGATCGATCTCACCATCGATCTCATAATCGATCTCCTTATCAATCTCACAAGCGATCTCACTAGAGATCGCATGAGCGATCGTGCGATCGATCTCACTGTGGATCTCATGGAATCAATTTCACTTTCGGTCTCACCATTGACCTTACGATCGTCCTCACAATCGATTCCACTATCGATCTCATTATCGATCACACAATCGATCTCAAGATCCACAGTATCAATTTTCAAATCATCCACTGATTGGGGTCTTCTCAGGTGTATTTCCCAACCCTCCTGCGTCGGGTTCTCGTCTTGAATAGAGCACTGCTCGCGCGTCTCCTTGCCTCCTTCCCCCCCCCCCTCTCTTCCCCCTTGCCTTTTGCCTCGCTCGTCGCTGCGTGCCAGCTGGGGGGCTGCGATCTGTGAAACTGTCGCCATTTTCGAGGCCTGCTGGGGGGCCCAGCACAGTGGGTACTCACCGCGGATTCAAATTAGACCTCGCCATCCCTGGGGGGCTGCGATCTGTGAAACTGTTGCCACTTTCGAGGCCTGCTGGGGGGCCCAGCACAGTGGGTACACACGGCGGACCCAAATTAGACCTCGCCATCCCTGGGGGGCTGCGATCTGTGAAACTGTCGCCACTTTCGAGGCCTGCTGGGGGGCCCAGCACAGTGGGTACTCACCGCGGATTCAAATTAGACCTCGCCATCCCTGGGGGGCTGCGATCTGTGAAACTGTCGCCACTTTCGAGGCCTGCTGGGGGGCCCAGCACAGTGGGTACTCACCGCGGATTCAAATTAGACCTCGCCATCCCTGGGGGGGTGCGATCTGTGAAACTGTCGCCTCTTTCGAGGCCTGCTGGG